GAGCGATTGCGCTTGCTGATAATCCGCTTAGCTCGGGGAGAAGTAAGCACATCGACGTAAGGCACCATTTTTTCCGGAGCTTGACCGAGGAGGGTAGGATCAAGATCTCGCATGTTAGCAGTAAGGAGCAACATGCAGACATTCTGACGAAAGCTTTGCCACGAGAGCTTTTCGAAGTTCACCGTGACTTTGTGCTTGGCTTGAGCGAGAAGTAGAAGTCGGAGGTCGTCGATACAACAGCCCCTAGGGAGGGTGTTCGTGGTAGTGGCAGGTGTATCGACTCAATGGCGGGGTATATCTGATTGGACGACTTGACTGGAGGGACTGTCGTTGGAAGGTTACTCCGGTTCTGCAGGTTCCGCTGTGGAACATTCGTATAAATATCTGTCGGGCAATCTGTTGGTGGGTTGTGCTTTCCTCCGATGTATTTGTGGCTCGTAGGAAGAGTACAACTACCCGTGATCGGGGAATCGGGATAGTGTGATGTGATTCGTGATCGGGTTGTCGCGGTATTGCAATCGGGCAGATAGGGGTGCTGCACGCCCTCACCTTGCCCACTCCCATTCCAAACCAACTAATAAGACCACGTCTCAACTATCCAACAATCTTCTCTCTACAAGCCACGAGTTTACCAACAACGGCTGATGCTGCTGTGGCTGCTGCGGTTGTTGCTGCTGTTGCCGCGCTGCCGTCCTCCGTTGTCCTATCGGCTTCCCCCTATCCCCCATGTTCCCGCCCCCGCCACCACGGTTGTCACCGCCAGTGACGAGGGCATACGCCCCCACGCTCTCCGACGCCCTCTTCCTAGCGGCCTCCGTCTCCGCCAAGGCAGTCAGAATCACCTTCTCTACCAATTCCGTCTTGACCTCCGAATGCGCCAACAACACGCTTCTGTGCACGTTGAAATCGGGCAGAAGGTTGCGTACATAGTGGACGTTAGCATCACGATCGGATTGCACCCAACCGTACGCTTCTAGTTTCTGGCGAAGTACTGATGCTCTTGTGAGATAGCGCCGGGGCTCCTCCCCTACTTGCTGCTTCAACAAGTACCACTACCCCTGCAACTCCAACTTGTCCGTTTCTGCGTGCACTCGGTAAAAGCTGAGAAATTGATCCCACGATTCAGTGGGGCAACCTCTAGCTAGGATTGCAGGGACTATTGTCGGTACTTGTATCTTGGGTGTAATCAGCTGCCAAGCCTTAGCCGCCCGATCTCCAGCCACCGGCCCATGCTTCACCTTCAATGCCGAGATATTCGCATCCGCCTTCCCACACGAATCGTGTTCTTCGACTCTATTGCCCCAAAGCAACGCTCCTGCTCCAACAAAGATCGAAATTGACTGGTAAAAACCATTACCGCCGTCTGTACATCGTCCTCGGCGCTAAACTTCCCTGTGAATGCAGGGCTTATGATACCTGCGCTAATACGTATTGATTCTTTAGGGGTTGGGACTTCCCTGTATTCATCCTCCGGGTATATATTGACCCTCTGCAAGGCCCGCGCGAGGGTGTTGATGAGGCTGACGTCTGCCGGCGATCGGGGCTGGTCTTCGGGTCGCGGGCTTGATTCCGAGCCAGCCGGCCTCTCCAGCCGGGTGTCGCCTCCTTCGGAAGGCACGCCCTCGCTCTGTGCTGCGGGGCGCTCTGCTGCTGCTGCTTCTTCTACTTTGATCTTGACCAGCTCCTTGATAAGAGCGTCGATTACGTTTCGCTGCTCGTCCGAGAGCTGGAGCTCATCCAGCTGCTGATCCTTGTCATTGTTATCTGGCCGAACCCCGTTGTAGCTAGCCCCACCTCGGGATCCCGTATGATATCACAAGCTAGTGTGTTAAGAGAATCCGAACTGGGGGTAGCTTGTCGCAAGATGTGTGTTGAATAGGGTGTCGGCAACTCGGCGGGCTTGCGCCGAGGAGAAAAACTTGTTGTGATCAGTTGCATCCACATACACACACAAGCCCCGTTGAGGGGGCGACGCCGTATACAACAGGGGTACCTTGTACATCCCTGGAATCCATTCTACTTACCACACATGTCACCCGCTTTTCCGCGCTACCTCATTCCATGGGAACATCCCGCACCAACCACTTTGGCATTGCTACAAGTATATCTGTCATGCTACAAGTATATCTATCAAGTCAGAAATCGCTCTGTTCTGCTTGCTAGGTTGCTAACCACCCCGCATACACCGTGCGATCTACGCACGATCGAAGTCTCTACAGACTCTAACTGCTGGCGCTGGGGCAAGTCAAGAGACACTAACTCTGCTGGCCGGGTTGATATCCTCACCCGCCTTTATCCCTCCGTCTATGCGTAATCGGAGTTGCTATAACTCACCTGCTACGACGTTGTTGGTGCCAGTCAGCAGTCGGTATTCTCTGCATGCGGTGTTGCTGTCCACCCCGCTTACACTCTCCGTCTAGGGGAATCGGAGTTGCTACACTCCAACTGATACGACGTTGTGGCACGTCAGAAGTCGCTCTGTTATGCTTGCCGTGTTGCTCTAACACCCCGCGTACACGCCTCCGTCTATGCACAATCGAAGTCGCTAGATTCCAACTGCTCCGGCGTTGGGGCAAGTCAGAAGTCCCTATTCTCTAGCTGCCGTGTTGCTATGCGCCCCGCTTTTATCACGCGAGTCAGCAGTTGCCCCAATCCGATTGCGGTGTCGCCATACACCCGGAGTAGGAGAGCCGCTTCCAGCCCTCCTTCTTGTTATAGCAGACCATCTACGTACCGTAGTGCTTCCGGCGTAGCCAGATGTGGTGAATGAAGGTGCTGGCCATCCGTCTCAACCTATGCAAGTCAGAAGTTGCTGTGCTTTTGGTTGCTGCGGGGCGTTCGGTATCTCGTGTGCAATAGACTACCCAATTCGAATAATCAGTTGCGGCTGCGGATCGCTGCGGTGCTGACCGCAAATACACGTTGCACGATAATTGCCGTCAATCCATCTTTGCACGCCAGAAGTTGCTGTTCTCTCGTGCTAGCTAGCGGTGAGTCGCTACTCACGGTAGATCTTACCTCACTCCGTTCATGCGAGTGGGAGGTAGCTGTGCATCCGTGCGGGGTTGCCAGCTGTACAATCGGCTGCTAGCCGTTGTGGTGACGGTGCTTGCTGTCCATCTCAATAATCGTAATTGACTCATGCAACGGTAGGGGTGCACGAATTCCCTCTGAGTCTCAAACGTGAGACGCTCCATATCTCAGCCTGAAATGGACATGGACAAAGTTTGAAAATAAAACATGGTAGGTATTCCGAACGCTGTGTTGACACCCGGCCTCTGGAAGTCGACTTCCAACAGTTGTGACCCCGGTTCTAATGTCTAGGCCGTTACTGTTGGTCGCTGCACACCAAGATCGAGGTTGCTACAGGCGGGGCCGTTGGACAGACGTTACCATGCATCCGGCTGCTAGGCAGCCGCTGGTCGCAGTCCGATGTTGGGAGGCGCTTGTCGTCGACCCATGTGCGCAAGCCAGAAGTGGCTATTCATCACTTCCGCTGATCGGTTCACCGGTGTGGGGTTCCCCCCCCGAATGTTTCCCGTATCCCTGCGGCATGTGCCTTAACACCCGATGCTGGGCAATTCTATGTACATCAGGCGCGGGTTTCCCGACTTTTCGCATCGATTGACGCACACTGCACAGGCGCACACGCAGCAGCAGCGCGGCCTACTCCCTCACGTAGGGACAACAGCTCCGCTTGTCGTAGGTAGTAGTGGGGCCGGCGCTGCGTTGCGAGTGTCTGTGCTGTGCCATGTTTTCTCGGCTTCCAGCCTGGATAGTTGCATCGTGCCGACGACTGCCTTAGCACCCGATGCCCGGTTTCAATCGGGCGAAGGTTCCGAACCTTTCCCATTGATTGACGCACACTGCACAGGCGCACACGCAGCAGCAGTGCGGCCTACTCCCTCACGTAGGAACAACGGCTCCGTCGTGGTAGGTAGTGGTGGACCCGGCGTCGCGTTGCGCGTGTCATTCCGAGGCATGGTTTCTCTGCCTCAGTCTGGATAGTTGCATCGTTTCGGCATTCATTTGCCCCGATACCTGCTCATCTAAAACTCGTTTGTGATCATGATATATGTCGGGTACATATGCAGTACGCCCGACCTGCCTCGCCCCAGTCGCCACATCGAAAGACTGGCCCGGCCGGCACGATGCCAGAAAAGGGACATCGTGGATGTTCGAACCGTCACCGCATGCAGACATGACTCGCCGGCGTATGCGCCGTCTTTGGACCGCCGACCACTTCCGAATCATCTCCGACGCACGCAAGTCCTGTCCGACGCCGACATCCAGTCGTTCGTAGACTCCTTCTATTGCGGGTGGCGACGAACCGCACCATGCACAATTTCGCCATTCACAAATTGCGGGTTTTCCCCGTGTCCAACTAGCGACAGCCCGCTCCGCCGAGGTCGCGCACATGGCGGAGGTGGGAGTGTTGTTTGGCTTGGGATCCTTAAGCGTTGGCGGTGTCCTGACGGGGCGATGATTGCATACGAAGTCAGAAGTCATGTTCCTCTTGACCCATACACATATGTCGGTAGATGGATACCCGCCCGCATGCTGGTTTCCCGTGTTGGTGCAGAGTGCACCTGTTGGCGGGGTTGCCCCCGTCCGTGTATATACTAGCACATGCGGTCGAAAGGACGTCTAACATCATTCAGGTGCACACGGATGAACTTGTGTTGAGAATTCCCAGAGGACATCCCCCAACCACGTGGAGCAAAACAAGGTTCGGTTGTCGTCGTCACTGATCTGGTCAGATGCGCGCTTTGCTTGAACTGCATCGGTTGGGTTCGGGCCTCCCGGAACAAGGTGGTAGGTTGATTACTTGGTCGATTCTCCGGGGAAGGTGACGAGATCGGTGCATGATGTCACGTGCGTGGAGGTGGGGTCGCCCGGTTGCCTGTATTGCCCTCCCGGCACCACGTGGGCAAAAGAATCTGCCGCCGAGTCGCTCTCCAAGGACTCTTTCTATATGTTTAACATGGCGTGAACTTCGCAGAGGAAACGACTGGAGCTCTACGTCGGGGCTCAGAACCTTTGGTGCCAGTCCGACGGTGGACACGGGCCTCACATTCACCACTGGCACTGCAGCTGTTTGTCGGATCACCGCTAAGGCAACGCTTTGGGGACAGTGTGCCAAAACATGCGTCTGCTAGCGCTTGCGTCCGGCGCTCGACCGCCGAGCGCATCGCAATTGCGCCGGACGTTCTTTCCCCCTCGACAGTAGACCATGCCTTAGGTGTTTAACCTCTTCTTCTTCACATTGGGGTCACAGGTGCTCCCGTGTTGCCGAGCTGAACTTGTAAACTCCAACTTTTGTTTGGGCAGGCTGTGATCTAGGCCATTGCGATGCTTGCTAAACAGGCCAGGATATTTGTGCAGTTAGAGCCATGTCGGGCTACATCCACGCCCACCAAGCTGTGGCGTGGACCTTATCCTCCGCCAGCTTGCCTCTGCGGTGCTCGATGGTAATAGCAGTGGATAAGCCCGGCTCAGAGCGAAAGGAGATGGCGCCGATTGGGGTTAGAGACCGGAACCGATGTTGAAGAACTATGAAACGTTGGGCCGTCCTTCACACGGCGGGGGGGCGGCCAACTTTGTGGCTTTCCACGAGGAGCCGTTGTCTCTGGCATTGGGAGACGCCTTTGCAGTGTATGCCCCCCCCCGTACGCCGCTTTAATCCCATAGCTGAATACACGAAAGTTAGGGTGACTCAGTGGTCGCGAAGAAGACGGGACAAGGAAAGTATGGGTGGGACCACAGGCCGGAGCTGGAGGCCTCATCCAAAATCCAATGCTTTGAATAATTGATTCTAAGCCACGAGCAATAATACAACAGCAAACTCGGGTCTGCAAACGATTTCAAATTCGGCACGAAAATGGATGTAGGCGTCTGTCCCGGTAACATGTTGAAATTATTTGCATATAGCCGATCATTGTTTTTCTCCCTACCGTGAATACGCGAGAACACAGGGTAGGAAATAATTAATTTCGAGACCACCCCACCCACCCTGCAGCTCATGTTGTGTTGAGGCTCAAAGCCTCAGGATCATTTACAGATTCATTGCCGCGCAGACTGCAGTCGGCGCGGCAGTGCATCCGTGGGACCGCCGGCCTCAGAGCTGGAGGCCTCATCCAAAATCCAATACTTTGATTAAATGTATCTAGGCCATGAGCAATAATACAACAGTAATTTTTTGGTTGGTTGCGCAAACTCTGATGGTAAGAGAGCATGTCAGCGCCCTACGATATTTGTTTGTGTTTTCGGTCAATATCCAGACCATATCGTATGTGCGGACCTAACGTGTGTTGACGATGGCGTGCCGTCACTCGCACCGGAGCACTTGGCGTGAGCCGTTGCTTGTTTGCGTCGTGGAAAGTCCGATTGTTCGGGTGGTACGTTGGTCGGGATTTTGTGCGGAGCGTGGGTGAGTTGGGGAAAATGGGTGAGGCAGGGCGGCTGGGGGTGGGTGGGCTGCAGCTTTAAGGGTGTTGCGTGTTGTTGAAAGCTTCAACCTCGGGCGGTGACTTTAAGCCGTTACCGACCGCCGTCTTTTTTCGATTCGCTGGCATCTGTGACGTGCTCACGCCTCCGGCAAGGGGCACGAGGACCGTCGTTTTGTCAAGACCTACTCTGTAGGTGCTTTGCTTTTGTTTGGGCAGTCGGTTTATATCCGCACCATGTAGTATATGCGGAGAAGTGTCTACCGGGGCTTGTATCCTCACTTGTACCGACTAGAGTATCATTAACTTTTGTTCTTCTCTTGGCTTCTTTGGCACAAACTATTGTTTGCGCGGGAAGTCGCAAAGTGGTGAGCCGGTCGAAAAAACGTGTGTGGAGCCGCTCGTGTTTGTGTAGGGCTAGGTATTTATATTTTTTGCGTCAGCATGGTTCTTTGTTCAGGGATCTCCGCGGTCATCTTGTCCGCCTTCGTCCCGCCGTAATTGTCTCGTGCGTACACGTACAGTCTGTTTTGCGCAGTGCGTGCCCTAAACGAAGCACGGGCCACGATTGTGGTTGCTTTGACCTTCTTTTTTGTCGGGATGCCCTTCTATTCAACCTTGGTTGGAGGCGTCGTTTCTTCGTGTCTGTTGAAAAGGCTGTTGATTGTTTTTTGCCGGGGTGTCATGCGCTCACCACGGTGTTGACGCAAGGGAACCTACCTGCACAACATGTGCAATATGCGCTAACGCATCAACGACCGACGAATAAATAAAATAAAAAAAAGCGTCAGCACTACGCTCGTCCGGGACACGTGTCCTTTGACGAACGCAGCTTTAAACTGACCACCTTAGCCGTGGAAAGCTTTGGCCGCCTTGGAAAGGAGGGTTACGAGCTCATCGATGAACTTGCGACACATGCCGTGGGAGGAAGGGACGGAGGAACGATGGCTCTGAAAGGAGTCTTCAAGGAACGACTTCTTCAGATCGTTTCGGTGGCTACACAGGTAGGTGGCTATATCTCGGCGAGTGCAGAGGTACAAGCTCGCATTGCGCGGGCGTCAAGACGCTGAAAACAGGCGAACAAGATCGACCTCGAACCAGTCAACGCCAATGATATGGGGATGGAGTGTAGACGCATCGTAGAACGCGTTTTCGTTTGAAGTTGGCGTCTTGTTTGAGAGTAGATGTGACAGATTTGCGTAGAATAGGGTAAGATGTTATCATGAACGGAGAAGAAAGGGCTTTTCCAACACGGAGATGTAGCATGGATCAAAGCATTTGTTGGATTTCAGCTTTTACAAGAGGACATCAACGCAGTAGTATTTTAGCAAGCTTACGAACGCATATAGGATACCATGAGGATTGTCATTGGTTTTATTTCAAGTTGAAGAGGAGATATTTTTACGATGTAAGTGACAGTAGAAATAAGTCCTACATATGTTGTTGTACTTCGTATTGGTTAAATATTCATGTAGACTATGAGACATTAAGTGAAAGTTTTCTGAGGTACATGTGCAATTATTGTCGGAAGGCAAAAAATAAAGAAATATATAAATTAAGAATAACACAAACAAACCTGGTACTTGTTATCCGGCTGCGAACGTTTGCCCCGAGGGGCAGAACAACGTTCCGTTGCATGATCGGAGGGCCCAATCTGGCAACCTTGTGAGCCAAGGATTACCCTAACCTACGAGGTTATTATGCTTTGTATGCTTACCTGACCCGGCCAGGTAATGCCACCGGGGTATGCAACCTGGAACATTGTATTATTACCGGAATATTGAGGCATTTTTTTTCGGCATTGTACAACGAGTGCGTATGGTCTATTAATAATGTGCACCTGGGTCACCTGTGCGGTACGTTGCAATTGCCCTTGTGTGTTTCGTTTCCGTGATGAGATGGATGGCTCGCCCCCGATGGTGCTCGCCCCCTCACGATCACCCCCTTTCTCCTTTTCTTCTTTCCTCTACTCTCCATTTCTTACGTTTCGGCCAACTAGGCGCCAATTCAAACCATGATTGATTCTGGTCTACGCACAAGTGTACTTTTCAGTCACTGTGAGCCTCTGCACACTGTTACTACACAGCAGTGTTTGCCACATCAAACAAAATATCTCGTTCCCGCCTTCACCCCACCCCCCCCGTCCCCAAAAAAACAAATCATGTGGGTTTCACGCGTACCCACTGGTGAAATAATACGGATTGGTGGGTATGGGGGTGTTCTGCCTGTGTGTCGGCAGCAAATCACTTGAAATTAGAGGCCCCCCTGCCGCGCGTACCACGTTTAGGCCCGTATCTCGGCCCCAAATTATGGGTTGACCATAACAAAAATATACAGCAGTGCGCCTGTCCTGGCGGAACAACATACTCAAATTACAAGTTAATCCGTGAAGATCCTGATTTTTAAAGCTCGAAACAAGCTGTACAGCAGTGTTTACGGGTAAAGTGTAAGCATAACTCCGCACCATTCTAGTGTTCGGCCTTGAAATTTTGCACGATCGTGCCCCTGACTCGTGCGCCATTGCACAAAAAATCAGAAATGAAATCGGAGCATGTGGAGGCGCTGGCGGCCGATTTCAGTGCTGTACAGCAGCAGATATCACCTTTCGCTGCCGCAGTCGCCCCTGTTATTCTTTTTTCGCCTTGATATTTTGGCACGCTTGCCATCTGTTCACAGGACCACCGTTGCGTGTGTTTATGGTGGAAAATATGTACAGCTGCGCAAGCGTGTCAACCGTTTTTATAAGGGAAAACTGGGCAAACCCACCCCGAAGTCTAGTTTCTATCGTGGCCCGCATACTTGGTGAGACCCATATCCACATGCAGCAGAGTCATATCGGGGCATTTGGATATAGCGAGGTAAACGCCCCGCCCTCCGCGCCGAGCGCACGGCGTCGCCACTCCCGCGTTTGGCACCAGTTGTCGTTGAAACATAATTATTACTAATTTGCAAATCACACTCTCACGTGTCCATCTACGAACTTCTTCAAGTTCCTATCGTCGCCGTCTTCAAAGAACGTCCTGTTCCCACATGAACCATTTCTCGCCCTCTTCGAGCTGACCAGCTATTCGCTTACTTACTTACTATTACGGAAGAATACAGTTAACAAGACCAAAATGATCTAATCAACGTACTCGTCCGAAAATAGACCTCTCGTGTGAATGAGAAGCCTGGCCTTACAATCTGCGTCAATCTACCGGCCATGTCCCAGAGGGACTAGTCTACTTTCTGTCCTCTTACTGACCTCTCAGGAGATGAGTTGGCCACAACTTGCGAACCAACCCACAGTATCCCGCGAGACAAAAGTTGAGGGTGGCACTCGCATCCCTATCACACCTAAATGCCACCCCGTTTTCGAAAAGAGGACAGGGATTTTCAACGCCCACGCAAACAGTTGTACACTGTCGCACACGCTGACCACCCTGAACGTCAGTCATCTCCCCGCCACACCCCCCGGGGCACATCTTGGAAGTCCTGAACTCGTCCAACATCCCCACATTCACCCTCGAACAGATAGCCCTCACGAGCTTCTTTCGAGGCGCGGAGGCGTGCCCTTTCATCGCCCTGAAGCTCCCGTTCCCGAACAGAACGATGTTCTTGCGGTCGGAAGGGCACGCAGCTATGTTCGAAGCCAGCTTGTCAACAGTCTTCTGTACAAGCCTCGATGAGTGAAACCTCGACCTCTTCCTCGCCCTCTTCATCTTTTCCGCGAACATAACCTTGAACGTTTCAGCCGCCACACGACAGTACGCGAGAAAAGACGACTTTCTGGCTGTCTTCTTCTTGACCGCGGAAAATCTGGGGAAACACCGCCCGTACTCGTCGTTCGACCTCCTCTTCTTCTCTCGCCCTTCCAGCATGGTCCTACCAGACTTCACGGAGTACTCGGTTCCCTTCATTTCCCAGTCCGTGCTTTTCTCGCGAACGCTCCCGACACACCTGCAGAATTCCAGGGGACACGACCTCACAGAAACCACTGAAGCGCACCCTGGATCGACGACGGTCAGGTTGTATGCATGAACTCGGTCAGCGACTATCTTCCGACTGTCCTTTCTCGCCTGGGAGAGCACGAACAAGCCCCGCTCTTGCGTTTCCAGGGAGACCACCTTCTTGGCAATCTGATACCCAGACTTGGCCAGATCTGTTGTACCAGGAACGTGAGGCTTTTTGGATACCAGGGCCATAAAGGTCACCTGAACCTGGTAGCCGTCTGACCGAAATCCCGACGGCTTGTACCCTTTCCTATTAACCCTCCTAAGGTCGAAGTGCTCGGAAATAAACCTTGAGACGGACGAGAAGTCGTGACCCTCCTTGTGAAAAATGCTCCCGACCACGGAAGAAGAGTAGTATGGAAAGCACGGGGCTAGCTTCCAGACAGGGAGGACCGTGCACATCTTCGGTCGATCCACGAGTCCTCGCTTGATCCTCTCTGATATGTAGAAGGCCTTCCTCACTTTTTCCTCATCGGATCTCGTCTTTGTTTCCTCTCGGAGGGCCCTATTGTTATCGGACGCCTCCTCGGCAACGCGTGAGATCATGCTGATCAGTTCGAGGAACAGATGGGGCTTTTTCTTCAAGATCTTGAGCACTGGTACGTCCGGTTCGGTTGAGTAAACTTGTGCGAGAAGGTCCCTCACTTGTAGCACGTGGGGTACGTACCCAGGATCGAGGTCTTCTCTCATCTCTCGTTCAAGACAGTCGTTTGACAGAGAGACGATAACTCTCGATCGATCCTTCGCGGGGAAGTGTTGGAATGCCAACTGGGAATCGTTCATGAGCCTGAACCTCAGGAACCCCTTGATCTTGGCCTCCAGGTGCACGACAATAGAGTTCTTGGCAGATACCTCCATTTCTCTCGTGACTGTTTCTTGGAGTCGACAGGGGACCTTGGGAGGGAAGAGAGATGTGTCGAAACCGGATTGGTCGATGAACTCGTCGAGTAGGTCGGAGAAGTCGTTTCTCGTGTTCTTTCCGGATATGCGGATGTTGATGGCGGCCCAACACCTATCGTAGAAGACCTTCTTGACCTCAGGAGGTTGCAGGCCCTGTTCGAGTCTCCTGATGACGACGTAGTTTGAGAATAGACCAACGATGTACCTGAAGGACCCGGTGTACCTGGACATTCTCTCGAGGCGGTCTCGAATGTACTTTGGCATCACAGATTTCACCAGAGTCCTCTCGAGATCCAGACATATACACGACTGTCTCGTTGAGCCTGACTCTTCATCGCCTTCTGCGCGTAGCGATTGTTCCACACCGCTCTTCCGAGTGCATCTTTTCTTCGCGCGTGGGTCTGGATTCTCGGTGTCGACTTCCATGTTGGTATGTTATCCATCAATATTTTAATTCATGGTTCTCAGGCGCAGTGTGACTGCTGTGGGGCCAAGTTTGACGACGAAAGTTATCTTTTCAAACTGGGGAGGGCCACGTGACTCAATCAACAATCGGGGCTTGGGATGAAATTCTACAAAGAACAACATATTCGCCTGATTGAGAGCGTAGCATCTGATTGAGAGCGAGATTGCGCGATACGCTGTAGCCGGACTACCACTGAGAGGTGGAGCTTGCTGTGTAGCTTGAATTGAAGGGATAGCCCGTAGCTTCAAGCCGCTACCTTGGTCATCCTGTGGGAGTCTCTCGTTGTGGAGCTACAGCCGGGAGCAGAAGCTACAGCAGAGCCCACCGCCCGACGCGATACCGCCCTGAAACAGTTTGAGCAGAAATAGCCAATATGGGCAAATCTAGCAACTTGTCTAGCTCCTCGATGCAGCATCCGATGACGATGACACGCATATGCTCGCGAAGCTGCTGATGAGACCTTCAATTTGCACCGCTTCTTGGAATAGCCCGTCCCCTACTTGCCAAGAAATGGCAAGAGGCGTCTGGACCCGAAATTTCAATTTTTTTGGCTCTCGCTCTCAATCAGATACTTCGCTCTCAATCAGGCGAATATGTTGTTAAAGTAATTTTTTAGCCAAATCACGTGCCACCGAGCCTTGTTCCGTTATTGATGTTTTTTGAGTCCAAGGTGTTGTTCGTTTGATCAGAAAAAACATCCCCACCGAAAGTAATCCCGCGGTTTAGTAGAGGCCTGTTCACAGGGTGCAACTCTTGCGAATATGTTATCCTTCGTCGCATTCCAAAAATTGAATTGAACCTTTTTCTCTTTCTTCCTTTTTTCTGTTGAAACACATTTGGACTTGTTAACTATGGTCCACCGTAGTAGATGACGAAACAGTTTCCTAGTTTTGCCTGCGTGCTTGAGAAGGGATGCGCGGATTTCCGCAATAAACTCCCTCCGGGCGCCCAGTTTCTTGGTGCTTGGCTTGGCGCCCTTCTCTGTCGTTTCTCCCAAGCAAGCCGAGTTGACTACGCTACCTAGCACCGACTTGCCGATTATATGGGCCTGACTGTATCCAGCGGCTGACATGTAGCTAGTCCTTAATGTAGCACTCGACACCTGCAAAAAACTACTGAATTCATCCATGTTTGACGGATCGACCTGGCCCGAATTCAGAGCGGCCGTGGCCCAAAACGTCCGACACGTGTGAATACAGAAGTTGGGAAGGCCTAGCCAGTGCGCCCCAATCTTTTTGGCACGTGACGCAATGTCAGGCTGGGCCCAAGCCTGCCCCACGCTCACGCTTGCCCCCCTTACCCCGTGCACCCGTTTTGCCTCCATGGCGCGGCGTCACCGCGCCCTCGCACCATCACACCCCTCCCACGAAACGCAGAAACACCCTTTCATGTTCATCCTTCCAGAAAGTATTCTCCTTCCGAAACCATTTTTCACTCTCTCCGAGCTGACCAACCTTACGCTTCCTCACTAGATCCTGGAACATGTGTTTGGCATCGCCCGAGTACTTGAGCAGAGATGCGCGGATGTCCGCAAGGAACTCCAGTCTGATCTTTCGCAGCTTCGGCCCTTGCGGCCCATCGCCATTCTCCGCAATTTCCACATGACAAGCCGAGTTGACTACGCCACCTAGCACGACGTTGCCTATTGTGTGGGCAGCTGTGTTTGCAGAGGCAGCTCCATAGCTACTCCTTAACGTGGCACTCGACACCTGGAGATAGGAGCTAAAGTCGTCGATATTACTGCTATTGACTTGGCCCGAATTCAGGGCGTGTGTGGCCCAAAACGTACGGCACACATGGGGAGAGAAGTTTTCAATTCCTAGCCAGTACGCCCCAATCTTTTTGAAACGCGACCGAGTGTCGTTTGGGGTCCACCCTTCCCCCTTCGAATTGACAAACAGCCTCCTGTTGCCGTCGCGCATGTCTACGTCGCAGAAGCGGTGGCCCACACAGGCTACAAAATGTATCATCACGCTTTGGTCTGCTGACATTTCAAAGTGACTAACGGGAAGAGCCCCACTCGACGCTGAGGCGGTAGCCGTCTTCCAAGTTCGGTCCTTGAAAGTGTGCCTGAAGTGGGTGCCGTCCGGAACAAGAGCGAACTCGTTCATCGTTGCCTCCCGCATGACCTGGGACCTCTGAAAACAGTTGCTTAGCGCGAGTAAGACGCAGAGATTGGCTACGTCGGAGTATAGCACACCCTTATTCTTAGCGTGCTCGTACAGGAGCTCGGCCTCCTGATTGGAAATTTTAAGAAACGCGGAGGGGTGTTCCATGCTAGCCCCGAGTTCCTCACCGATCAGGCTCTTCAGGGGGTGCCAAACGCCGAAACAGACGCCTTTGAGCATGTCGTACATCATCTCCACCGCCTTGGGGTCCGTGGGATCCAACATACGCCCGCCATCCACCTTCTTGTTGAGGCCGGCGGGGTCCAGGTTGGTGCTGACGGTGTTTGCCATTTTGAGCCTTTTCCTCGTTTTCCAAAGCTGGCTGTCGAAGTGCGCCATGATCTCCGTCAGTTTCGCCGACACTAGCGTCGAAGAGCGTTGGGCCGCCCTGCGGTGTGTTGCAAGCAGCCTTCGCCGCGACGCCTGCTCTCTCTCCATACGTCAAATGTATGGAACCCAACACGGAGCCGTCCATGCGGCCGACAGAGTCCACGGGTCGCTGTCGGATTATGTCCAGACTCCCAACCACAGGTCCGCACTCGATCCCATACTTTGTTTTTTCGGTATACGCTCGAAACAGTGTAGCTATCCTCTCGGCGTCACCCGGGGCCGAGCGGGTTGCCTTAAAAAGACCGTACGCGTCTCCTACGTGGAACCCCTCAATGTACTTGTCTTGGCACGCCCGCTCCAACATTATGTAGGCTATGTTTCTGTGCGGTACGTTTATCGCACGAAACACGCCCCTCCAGTCTGTCTCCCAGCCGCGGATAGCGCCGTCCAAGTGGCAGGGGGGGCAAAGCCACCTCTCCTCGAGCACGCGACGCTCCATCACGTTCAGGGGCAAGACGACCGATTCGAAAGCTGTGGGGCGCCCAAGGATAACGGTCGCGAACCACATAAGCCCGATTGCAGAAGAACATGACGCATACACACTAGACGAGCTGGTCTCCCCTCGCTTCCCAGATATTGTGGCAAAATCTCGCTGCAGGAAGAACCGCTGCCTCGAATCGTCGTCGTCGAAATCCATGTTCATGAACTGCAGTATACTCTTCGATTTGTCCACAGAGTACGGGAGCCCGTGAAACACCGAACGAGCCGAGCCGACCCGTTGGAGTCTTGTGAGGGCTTCTCGGCGCTGCTCTAGTTGCTTCCTACCCTCGGGCGTCGCGCGGTCGATGTCTCTGTAGTGGTGGCTCGCCTTGTTCAGTTTGATTCGATTTTCGAGTAGGCTCGGGAAGAGCTGGGAGTAGACGTGAAAACCGATCAGGGTCAGGTTGTCTCTCAGAGACTCTTGCCACGCGAGATTCTCGGCTTGAGGTAACCGATCATATGGAGTGCCACTAAAATTCCTGGCGCCGTAGAACTGCCGCACCTGGCCGTCGGTGGGCTCGAGAAATATTTTTTTCGGCGAGACGGGACACTTAAAGCTGGTGGTGTCCTTGGTCGCGCGCTTGACCTCGTTTGCGTTGAAATTCGGTTTTTCCAGGGTGGTGATTTGTTTCTTCACCTTCGAGATACTTGAAACTTTAATGCGCTTGGGTGCGGTAGAAACAGGAGCCATGGTTGAGGTCGGGGGAGTGAGCTTGGATGGGGCATGAAGCCACACAAAAGTTGTTCGTTCAGAATGGAGCGGGGCCACGCTTACGAGACCGATTCTGCACATGGCGGTCAGAATCGAAGTCTGCGGCGCGCTGTAACCGCCGTTCCGCGTCAAATCGCACCCGCGGGGCCCCCTTTTCCACCAACCGCCACCGCACTCGCCCCAGTGTCCACCGTTCGGCTCCAAACTCTGCGCGCACGTGTGTTTTATGTATGTCCACCCAACCCCCTTGCCCGCACCGCCAGAAACCGGGCCGGCACTGCCGTGTATTGCCCGTCATTGCTGTCACCACCCCTCCCCCTCCCCATTCGCATTTTTTGAGCTAACCTGCGCAGGGGTCGCACGAGACACAACAAGAACGCGAGAAGTCCGGGGAGCACTTTCCACGAAGCTTACAGGGGGCGTGAAACCGTGCAGTGAACTGTACAATGTTTGCTGTGGTTGACCCCCTCCATAGATCTTTGTGTGTAGTGTCTTAGAGCCAGTTTACAGGGGGTGTTCGGACCGTGTTCGAACCGTGCAAGTAACTGTGCATTTTTTTGGCACGGTCCTACCTATAGGATTTGAACCGTGCACAAACCGTGTCATAGTGTTTTCAAGTAGTCTGGCAGAGTTTGAGCAGAGTTCAGGATGTCGCGAAAACCTTTATACAGTAGGTATGCTGCATCTCCCAATTTGATAATCGTACACTCCCAAGATCCAACAGTCATCGTGTCTGCAGCTAGCTAGGTGACTCAAACAAAATAGCAACACATACACGGCCATAGCTCCACACATGCCCTCGCCCGAACCCAGGAAGCCACCATCAGCCAACGTGAGCTGGACTGGAGAACACAGCAGCAGCACCAACGAAGTCACTCTACCCCAGAGCGCCGATTTCCCCATGGAAGTCTCGTGCATACATATACGAACTCTGTGGAAAATGCAAGGCTTAACCGCAGTACTGATCCTTCGATGTCAACACAAGCAGGCAGAGAAACGGTCCACTCCCCAAACAAGGGGCCCCTCCGAACTTCTACTTCAACCAGTCCCCGCCNTAACCGCAGTACTGATCCTTCGATGTCAACACAAGCAGGCAGAGAAACGGTCCACTCCCCAAACAAGGGGCCCCCCCGAACTTCTACTTCAACCAGCCCCCGCCGCTCCCCTCCTCCCTTCAACTAATCCCCGACGCCCCCGCCCCGCCCCCCTGCTCCCTTCAAGCAGAGCCAGACGCTCCACCCCCGGCCTCTGTTGCCTCCGACTCCGCGGCCTCCAACTCCGCCAGCGCTGCAGCACTCTTAGCCCATGCCGCGTCTCCACACTCCAGCTACCACGGCAGCGTACCAGCGCGCTCGAGCTTGGCCTTGCCGATGTGTGGGAGGTTGTAGTTGTTGTCTTCTCCCGCAAGAATAATCTGCTCGAGGCACTCCTGCAGGCTCAGCCACACCCGATTGAGCACCATGGGCGGATCCGCCGCCCATGCTTGCTCCACAGCAGTGACGAGGTCGTCAACACTCCTCGGCGACGTGCGGTCCTGCAGGGACTGGATGGAGTTGAAGAATCCCCAAGTCCAGGATGTTTGTGTCTGGGCTGTTGGCCGGCTGATTCATCAGCCAGATGTCCCACCCGCCTGACGACATCGCAGCCCGCAGTTCGGGGTCGTCGTCGATGAGGTGGGGGCGAGCGTTGTCCTGCTGCACCCAGACTATCCTGTCCTCTGGGCTGGCGGCAGCAGGGGGGCGGGGAAACCGCCGCTTGATGACGGGGATCACGTATTCGATTGTCATCTTCTTGTACCGCTCCTTGGTCACCTCCAGTGTCTTGGTTTCGAGCGTTCCGGCAGGCCTGTTCTGATCGATAATTCGGGCGGCTCAGTTCTGTGTGTTGGGAGTGTTGAGCAGCTGGGCCATGACGGGCCGTGGTAGGGGAGGGACGTATAGGAAAACGTATTGTATTCTTCGGGGGCGTGCTCGTGCTCGTAAATCTGTCACGGCACGCGTCACGCTGATCACGCTCAAACTACCAAACGGATCTCTCTGATTCCTCAGCATGTCATCACTGCAATTTCCGTACGTACGTACTGAAGATCTACCCGTCATACCATGCTTCGAGTACCCCCAATATATCTAATAGCCCCCCTGCTCGTATGCATCGTCATGCTTCGGCAAAAAACAAATTTCTCGTTTACCATCTCTCCCAAAACAAACAAGAAAATCTCAAAGCATCCAAATCCAATATCCTCCCCAAAACATACAAGAACCCTCCCGAGTCAATCACAAGAAAAATGCCAACACAACCAAATCTCCAAAACAAACAAAAAATTCCAACACAACTAAAACTCCTCCAAAACAAACAAGAAAAATCTTAACCCACCTCCAACACCCTTACCACCTTCATCAGACTCTCTCTTTCTCTTGTCCAATCTCGTCACTCTCTTCCTCTCTCCGCTACAGAATATGAACCGACCTCAAAACACTTCCTTCACTGCAAGTTCATCACAAAGTCACGGTGCAGCGAAAAAGACTCCTTGCTAAAAGCCTTCGTCAAGAAATCTGCATGCTGAAATGACGTCGGCACATGAGTAATTGAAATCTCTTTCCTCTCTACCAGCTCCCTGATAAAGTGGTGCCGTACATCGATGTGCTTCGAGTTGGAGTTCGTGATCGGGTTGTGCGCAATCTGAATCGCTCCCTGAATCCTCAACACCGGAATGCACGGTATACTCGCATCTGGCAACATAAAACGCCACACCTGCCTCAACACTTCCTTCAAGACGCCGGCAATTGCCACATACTCTGCTTCCGTGCTGGAAAGCTTAACGCACTTCTGCGTTCGTGAAAACCAAGTCACACCCCCACACACACACATCACTAGCCCCCCAGACACCGACCTCTGGTCTGCTGCCTTGCTTGCATAGTCGGCATCCACAACCACCTGCATGCTCATACCTGTCACGACGCCCCTCTCAAATGTAATCCCCATCCAACTCGTCCTGCGCACGTATCCTAAAATTCCGAGTGCTGCCTTCCCGTGCACCATCTTGGGAGACGCGCAATACCGCGCTACTGCTCGAACTGCATTCGCAGTGTCCGGCCGTGTTTGAGTGGCCAACCACATCAGAGATCCTACCAACTCGCGAAAAGGGACATCAGCACTCGCTTTATTCACGTCAAAGTCGGAGAGCTTTAGGCTAACAGGCAGAGGCACACTCTGCCCCCACTCAATGCCATACTCTGCAGCCAGCGCTTCGGCAAACCTCTGCTGCGAATCTTCAACAGCCCTCTCTCTACGTCTCTCTCGTGAAACCACGCTGAGTACCACCTCAACTCTCCAAGGTTCTTCACGGGGACGGGGACCATCTCGTTGAGATCCCTGCCAAACTTGACACACCTCTCCTTCTGCCCTACAGCAAAAATGTCATCCACGTGGACCACGATGATCATGATCACATGTCCCTCCTCCATCAATCGAAAAACACATGCATCCGCCAGACACTGCAAAAAACCTAAAAGTAACAAACACCNCAAGATTCTGCTCGCATGCTAATGCTGCCAACACGCGCACACTGGACACTGATACGGTGGGTGCAAACAATTCTCCAAAATCAATGGAAGCCCTCTGCATGCCCCCCCGCGCGACAAGTCTTGCCTTGAATTTCGTCGGCCATCCGTACTCGTCTGCCTTACNACGGTGGGGCTGATGATGGGGCGACGGAGATCGGCGACGGGGCTGAGGATCCTGTGAAGATCGGCGGGGAAGCATGCTGCAGCGGTGCGGTGGTCGCTGGTGCAGGCGGGGTGTAGGTGTACGTTCTTGATGGCGGGGGTGGCGGCGGTGCGGCATCCGCCGCAGGTACGGCGGTGGCCGGCGAGGGCGCCGCGGTGAC